GAATTCTGGGAGTTGAAGTCCACAAGTCATAAAAGGGCCAGGTTTGAAGACCCCTGCTCGTAATCTTCGTCCTAGGCCAGGGCTAGGCAACCTGGGCTCTTTTATGACTCGTGGACTTCAACTCCCAGAATTCCTGAGCCAGCCATGCTGAGGGGACAGGGAGAGGTTTCCAAGCTGAGCCATGCTGGCTCAGGAATTCTGGGAGTTGAAGTCCACGAGTCATCAAAGGGCCAAGTTTGAAGACCCCTGCTCTTAATCTTCGTCCTAGGACAGGGGTAGGCAACCTTGGCTCTTTTATGACTCGTGGACTTCAACTCCCAGAATTCCTGAGCCAGCATGGCTCAGCTTGGAAACCTCTCCCTTTCCCCTCAGCATGGCTGGGCTCAGGAATTCTGGGACTTGAAGTCCAGGAGTCATACAAGAGCCAAGGTTGCCTACCCCTGCCCTAGATTTATCTATAACTTATTGTTTACCCAGGAAATAAAGCTTCACTTACTCATGAGTCTAGCCTTCTTACCAACACACGTGGTCCTTGAGTTACAACCCACAATTGAGCCCGACATTTATGTCGCCAAGTGAAACGTTTGTGAAGTGAAATTGCCCCAATTTAACCATTTTTCTTGCTACGGTTGTTAAGTGAATCTGGATTCCTCATTGATTTTGCTCGTCAGAAAGTCGAAAAAAGGGATCACCTGATCCCTGGAACAGTCATAAATGTGAACCAGTTGCCAAGCGGCCGAATTTTGTTCATGTGACCATGTGGGTGCTGCAAATGGTCATTAAGTGTGAAAAATGGAAACTAAGTGAACTGTTGTAAGTCGAGGACTGTCCGTAATGAAACAAAAGATCACTTTATACGCACTGCTGGTGCACCTTCACCAGCCTAATGCCCTCTCGACTCGTGGGCTACACTTCAACATACTGTAGTTCAGTATCAAAGCATAGGAGGTGATGTTTTTTGGGCTGTTTTATTATTAAGGTTTATCATACAGTTAGAATAACAGAGTTGGAAGGGACCTTGGAGGTCTTCTAGTCCAACCTCCTGCTCAAGCAGGAAACCCTATACCAGGGGTGGGCAACCTTGGCTCTTTTATGACTCGTGGACTTGAACTCCCATAATTCCCGAGCCAGCCATGCTGAGGGGAAAGGGAGAGGTTTCCAAGCTGAGCCATGCTGGCTCAGGAATTCTGGGAATTGAAGTCCACCTGTCATAAAAGAGCCAAGGTTGCCTACCCCTGCCCTATACCATTTCAGACAATATAATATAATAGAATAGAATAGGATAGAATAGAATCTGGAAGGGACCTTCTAGTCCAGTCCCCTGCTCAAGCAGGAAAACCTATACCGTCTCAGACAGTGGTTGTCCAATTTCTTCTCAGCCAGAGGTTTAGACTGGAGGTGGCATTTTTATTCACTTATCAAGTCCTTCCAAGGACCTAGGATGGGCAAATGTTCTTGTTGATTGGCGCGAAGGGTATCGTCCCAGGTTGTATGCTTTTCCAAATAAAATTGCCTTTCACAACGGACCAATGGGGATTTCGTTAATGCTGATGGGATTCAAGTGGTGCTCCAGTTATTTTGGGATTGCACCCAAGGCACCTATTGCAATCAGTACTAGCTTTGTTTTCTTTTGCCACAGTCATTCTATTACAAATCCTACAAATCCTTTCTAAATCAAAAGTTGGGGTTCCGGGGAACTATTGTCTAGAAATACCATTTGGGTTTGTTCAAAATACTGAAATTTTTCTGCTGTTACCAGCTAGAGTGCCATAGCACTGGCGGCACCTAGTTGACATTGGCTGACGTAGGACTGGGCATAGCTAGTACAGGTAGTTCTCAACTTACGACCACAACGGAGCCCAAAATTTATGCTGCTAAGCGAAACATTTGTTAAGTGAATTTTGCCCCATTTTACAACCTTTCTTGCCACAGGTTGTTAAGTGAATCACTGCAGTGGTTAAGTTAGTAACACGGTTGTTAAGTGAATCTGTCTTCTCCATTGACTTTGCTTGTCAGGTCACAAAAGGGGATCATGTGACACACACACACACACCAGGACACTGGAACTGTCATAAATATGAACTAGTTGCCAAGTGTCTGAATTTTGGTCATGGGGATGCTGCAATGATTGTAGGTGTGAAAAATGGTCGTAAGTCACATTTTTCAGTGGTGTAACTTTGAACAGTCACTAAATGAAGTAAGTTGAGGACTACCTGTACTTGGATGGGGAATGAAATGGAAATCCCAGGTTTTATGTTAGATAGACCCAAGAAGTCATCAGGCAGGGTGCCAAGAAAATTACTCAGACTTGTCCATGAAGTCATTTGTGAGTTCTTCCTCTTGCTGTAATTTCTACCATATTCACTACCTCACTGAGGCAAGAACCTCTGTCCTTTAAAGGATGTCCCTACTCTTTAAAGGATGTAAACCGCAAGCAGAATGAACCAGGACACCCATGTTCAGAATTAACAATTATTTCGGTGAATAAAAGCTATCTTAACGTGGTTGCTAATAAAGCTTTGTATTGTTTTAAAAATCTTAAATTTAATTTGAAGTAATCAGAAACTGTCATTACAGTTCCTCTAAAGGAATCAGAAATTCGGCATAAATGCTATGAAAATCTGATACTGCTTTGTGGAAAGCAAAGGGTTGAAATTTTATACACAGTGGAAGGAGGATCCTGAAAACAGGGTTCAGAGCAAGCCCATGTTCAAGATGGCTAACAATAAAAACCATAAACAAGATCTAAAAACTATAAATATCAGTATTAAGGTTGTACAAGAAAAGTCCCATCAATTCACAATAATAAATTCACCGATTTATTATTCTGAAGACCTGTTAAGTGAAAGACTGAGGATTTGTCCCTCCTCAAAGGAATTGTGCTTTGAGGAGAAATGAAACTGGGAGTGGATAAGACGTGAAAAGGGTTTCCTACACAATTTTTAGTATTATTGGGAGAAACTGCAATAATCCAAAATGACTCTTCAAGTAATTTAAATTATTTTACAGAAAGGGGAGGAGAGGGGAGTTTTAAATAGGCAAACTTTTTCAGTCTTCCTCAACATTATTCCCTCAATGTTGGACTATCAATTCTCATTCCTGTAGCTACTATAACCCACACATCTGGAAAACAATCCGATAAACAGGAAATGGGGATGTGAACACACACACACACACACACACACACACTTGCTCATGCTTTTCTTTATAACCACAACTCCTTTAAGCAGAAGTACAAATCTAGAAGAGCGAGGGGGAAACAAAAGGCTTGTACAGCAATTCTGGCTGATACAACACCCTAAAATCCTTGTACATATGAAAAGCGCTCTAACGGTGACCAGGACCACCCCCAATTTAATTCAACGCAAAAAATGAGCATTAGCCAGCAAAAAAAATCTGGAAAAGAGGAGGGGGGGAGGGGAAAAAACAACCAAAGGCTTATACAGTAATTCTGGCCAACACCACAACAAAAAACCTTCCTGCGTCTGAAAAGCGCTTATGTTGACAAGGGCCGATTTCATCCAACCTAAAAAAAATGAGCAGGAGCCAACAAAAATTGTGCACAAGTTTAGCAGAAGGTAATTGGACACCCGGGGCAAGATTTATTCCGAGAAGCTCGATTTCCCAGAATAGGGTTTTTGATCTATCCAGTTTGGTGGCACTTCCTCAAGCAGGAACCAAGCCAGGACTGCGGTGCCTTTGTTTACTTCTTCTAATCTAGACCGAGGGATTTATAGCGCTAGTCGCCTGGTTATGGGTCTACTTGGAAAGAAAGTCCCTCTATATTTTCTCAGGCTCAGATGGGACCCAGGAGGGCGGGTATCATCCCAAGCTGGAAGGTTCACACTGAGATTTCCAGGATACTTTCCCTTTGATCTTTTTTTTTTTTTACCTCCTGGTTTTTCTCCTGTTGGAACTGGCCGCTTGGGAGATGCTTTGAGGCTGCCCGTTTCCTGGTGCCCCATTTTGTGCTTCACCCCTTTCCTCCTGCCCTGCTTCACAGACGTGTGTTCACCTGATCCAACGTAATCTCTGCCATCCCCAAATGAGGTGTCTGGACTTGCCCTCTTACCTGGTTATCCTTACCTGGCCAGGGATGATGGATGAGAGCTGTAATCCGGTCTCCCATTTTAGAGACCACTAAAAGAGGAGGGTGTCCTCCCAAACAGCCACCCCCCACCCCCCCCAAGGCAGCCCCTCTCCTTACCTTGAAATAGCCACCCTCGTAATGCGTATTGGGAGGCCCGAAGATGGCCACCTCCCAGTTGTAGAGGTCCCCCTCGTCCACCAGGCTGACTCGGAAGCCCTCCACGGGCTCCTCCTGAAGCCCTTTGAGCTCCAGCAGCAGGGCCTTCTGCGAGCTGGGCACAGACAGCCGCGCCATGTCACCGCCTGACGGAGGAGGCGGAAAAGGGACGTAGGCCTCGAGCGAAGCCGGGGACTCGCGTGAATGCGCCGACCGCGGAGGAGGACGGGGGAAGCGGGTGGGAAAAAAAAGAAACAGCGCCGGGCCGGGCCAAGGCAGGGAGAAAG